ATTAGCTTGGAAAGTTCCTCTCATATACCTTGAGATAAATAGACAGAGGATCGATGGATGGATAACGGATGGATGAACTGACAGATACAAGACTGAGATAGATAAGGTGTAAAAGAAAGCATAGACAAGATGTTTAGTTTCTAGAATACTGTCCAGAGGCCTGGTTTGTTCCTGGTTTCACTGCAACCCCTGAGCCCTACTGCTAAGAAATCTTTCTTCAGACTAATCAGGAAAAAAATGCAAAGTACCGGTTATAAGGCTCTTGACAAGAGTGCTTAGAAAACCCTCAAGCAGCTGAACAAGCTAGCATGTGTCAGGAAGTTCATCCTGTGTGGTAGCAAGCTTATCATGGACTTTCGGGGGAGGTGGGGGGGCTTCATAAAGAATATTTCGTATAATATGTCTACCAAAAGGGATCGTTTTTCCCCTTCCCAGTGTATAATGCAGGCCTGCCCACATGTTGGTCCCATTGAGACTGTCTTTCTTGCAGAGAAGTGGGCGTAAGATTACAGCCAAAGGCAGTTTTGGGATCGTGAATGCTCCTTCCTAATTTGGGTCTGGTTGGCTTGAAGAATTATTCTTTATTGTTTATATTTATTTCCCACTTTTCTCCCATAGTGGAACTCAAGGTGGCTCTATGTAATTGCCAGGTGGTCTCCCCTCCAAGCTCAGGCCAGGCCCAGGCCTGCTTAGCTTCAACCTGGAGAATACCTGATGTGCTTCAGACCATACTCTGGGTTTTCATTGCCTTTCCAGATATGTGATTTCTGGCACAGCCATCCAGATCTGCCAGAGTGCAGCTCCCAGCATGCCCCAGTCAGCACATCTGGAGGATACCAAGTTGCAGAAAGCTACTTAAGCTGTTTGGGGGCACTCAAAGCTCCTCAATTCAGGATGTCCCTGTTTTCAAACAAGAAGAAAGTTAATGTGGGAAGAAGCTGGCCTGATCTGAATGGTCTTAGGGCAGTCCATAAGCCACAGAGCACTCAGGTACAGGTGGTGAGTGGTGTGTTACCCATCACATCAAGTCCCCTGGCCAGATACACATGGCACAAAACATAATGCTGCACCACCAAACATAATGGTGTTAATCCCTCTTGGAACATGACCAGTGTGCAAAGCAGGGGAAATAAACCTTGCCGGCCTATTTCTCCAGCCATGATCATGCGAACTGGGCTACTGATGGTTCCATTTTCACATTTGCCATGGTCTTGAATCCATTTAAATGCTGAATTTGAGCAGGTTGTTAGTTCAGTTGGAGAAAGAAGCTTTGTGGGACTATCTTCAAGCCAACCAGAACTATTCCTGTCCAACACTTAGTAATGTTGCACATTATTGCCCCGAACAAGGGTAAAAAATGCAACTCACCAATGCTTTGCAGTTTACTTCTTGAGCGTTCATGATAGGAAATTGCTTTGAAAATTCACTTGCACATTTTTTGGGGGGAGGGGGGATAACATTAAAGCATCAAGAAGAGTGGGGTTAGAAAGAAAAAAAAAGAATTGAATGATGCATCCACTCTCTTGCGAATGTGTTTATCCGAGGGGTGTGAATTTCACTAGCATTTGGGGCAGAAGGCAAAAGCGGTGTATGTCCCAGCCTATTTTCAACGAAAGATGTAACTGTTCGTAACTAACCCTTAAGGGAAGCATTTCACCCTTTTAGACTAGGAGGAAAAATTGCACAAATGCAAGGAAACCTCTAAGCAACTGGTGGTTGGCAGAAAGTGGGTGGGCCAGGAGAAGGGGGGCAGCCCTATGGGGAACTCCAGGGGTCCAGGAGAAGGGGGATAGCCCAGTGGGGAACTCCAGGGGTCCAGCTTTGACTCCTGGCTTGCAGGTCTACAATGATGGCTTGTCCTAGGGCTGCAGCCAGGCCAAGGTCTCCCCCTCCCCGTCCCCGTGACAGCCCTGTTTTCCAACCTCTCCTGGTCACACTTGCCAAACACGTTCTTACTTACACACTGGAAACAATGCAGTCCTGTGTATGAGCATCTGAATGCGGGAAGGGAAGCTGCCCGCAGCATTTGTTTGGATGCAACTCACAGAAAGAGCCCGAGAAGGGCAAACACCTGGGGAGCAAAGCAATCTGCCTTTGCATTATTGAAGAGCAACTTTTCGGCTGAAGACTTGCAGTTGATCTAATGAGGGGCAGTTGGGACCTCCATCCTGTGTGGGATTGCCTCATTCCACTGGTTAGACTTTTCCACTCTGCAACCGTTGGATTAGAGATGTTTCTTTTGTGCCAGACTGCTGGTAACAGCTGGAGTCTGCACTCCCCCCACCCTCCCAATCCTTTCTTTTTCCATCAGACTGATCAGTGTTACATTCCCAAATGCACTTTGGATTTTTTTGGTTTTTGTTTTTGAAGAGAAGTGCTCATTTTTCCATGATAGAGAACCCTCCATTTATTCGAGCTGTATTTATGAAATCGATGGGCTATTTTATTTGACTTTGAATTAACAACTCCAGAAAAAAATGAAGCTCAGACAATGCATGCCATTGTTAAAATTTGGAACAATTAAGCTGACATGTCAAGGTGGGGGCAAGTCAATTTTTGTTAAGAGAAACACTCCTATGTCCAGGGGACGAATGGATGAACATTTCAACCTTCTGTGTCCCCCTTTTTCTAATGCCGTATGGATTTAGATCCGCAGATAAAGGGCATAAACATGTTGATGTCAAGTATACACAACATTAAAGGCAGCAGCTGTTTAAAAACTAATTTTGATTAACGCAGTCTTAGCAAGGAAATGCCCACTTCACCTCAGTCTATCAGCCCAGTGGGTAGCAAACAGTTGGAATGGCTGAACAATCACTGAAATTCTTCGAGCACCTCCTTGAAGTCGGCCTGGTTCTCCTGGCTTCCTGCTTACAATTGCACCCTTCACTACATTGTGCATTGCAAATAGGAAAAAAGCACATTTTCTAAAAGGTGCACTCAAACACACACTTCCCAGCATGCAGCAGAGCCTGAAAATGTGCATTTCCTCCCCAAGTACAAGTTTTAAAACTGTGCATTTTAAAGATTTAAAACTGCACATTTTAAATGTAACAGAAATACAAATGTAGGAATTTGTGAATGTTTTGGGAAAACATGCTGGCTTCTTGGAGTTGTGAATGGGACCTGCACTCAAAATTTCTGAACATAAATGAAATTCTAATTCACTAATGATTTACCATTTTTCTGGCAATAATTGGGTTTATTTGTTACTGGAATTTTAAATCACTTTCACCAGGGACAGTTACATTCTTTGGAATGCCTTTTGCTATAGCAATGCAAACAAAACCACCCTCCCTGTTGTTAAATTCAGATCTTTCTGTGGGCAAACTGGGCAGCAATACAATGCCTGCCTCCCCCCACCCAGACCCCTTTCCTGTCCTTACTGTGACTTGCTTTTGGAATGTAAACACTTGCCTTGTCCGGATGGCAACAAGGATCTCATGGCAGTGTGAGGGCACCAGTGGTGGCCTTGTGACAACATGCGACCCTATAGCATTGGCTCTAACAGCTGTTCTGTCTCTGTCCAGAAGCTCCTGCAATTAAGCTGTAGCAGAGAAATATACATACTCCATGAGCGGGATTCCCTGTTCTTTGTGGATGGGGTTTCAGAGAACTTTTATGGATGTATTCAATTTAGGAAAGCAGACCAAGTTCTGTATCTCCCAGAAATGTAGTTTAGGGCATTTCCCCCAGTGACTGCTCAGAACTGTAGCATGGCAGTAGATAGAAATTGCAGGAATAATACAGTCATGGAACTAGACTGCCTCATTCAGCAATGTTGGGGTACAGTCTTACTCACTCATGCCCCCGTGGCTTGCAAACCCCCGCATCCAGAACCTTTCAAGTGTCTCATGCCCTTCCAGGTGGAAGCCAGCAGAGTGGAAGGATCAACAGAGGCACTGGTGATCTGTCCTGGGTGAAGCTTTTAAGAACGAGCTGCAGAAGGCATAGGGTAAATTGCATCCTGGCCTCTCCAGTCACCTCTATTCCTCATTCACCATAATGCCTCCTTTCTCTCCTCTTCGAGGTCACTTTTCTGACCATGGAGAGTCGGCCAGCATGGTTCCTTCCATGCCAGCTGCAACGGGGAGGTGCCTGAGGTTGGACCTCTGATTCCTCTTCCAAGGTCAGAGTGCTACCTCCAGGGACCTAGCAAAGGTGTGCTTTGCATCTAGCAGTCCAGATTCTGCAAGCAGGTCTACCAGTTCCCAGGAAGCCGGTCTTTCTGCTGGGAAGAGTTTTCAGCCTTTCCTCCACAATGGTGCTAAATATCCTGTCTGCTCCAGCATTCAAATAATAAATGCAGCTCTGGAACATCCCCAGAAATTATTGTTACTACCAGCCAATGGTGATTAGGGAACTAGACCACCCTGGTCTCAAGTACATATTTGCCACAGCCTTGCTTGCTTAACTGTCATGTCGGCATAAATATAATTTGAGGTAGGAGTTTAATTTCTAATAGTGTGAAAGATAGAGCAGGGTTCCCCTGGGTGGTCCAAACAAATAAGAACCAACAATATCTTTGTTTAAGCTATTTTGGAAAACGTTCCAACAGAGGTTTAAGCTAACATGAATTTTCTAATGTCTTAAGCCCCAAATATGTAAAAAGGAGTCCAATATTGGTTATGTATGATTAACGAGTGACTCGCATTTGCTTCAAGCTGAAGGAAAGCATGTGCTTTTGCTTAGCGTTGTTAATTTGAATGTCATCAGTAGCAGACGAAACCCCAAATTTGGTTGCACAAAATTACTGTTTGCTTTCCTTGAGGAGAGATGAATCTTCCTGATTACAGGAACTGTTGCCTCCAGATATCTGTGGATGGTGAGGCTTATCTGAACCTAATTGCCCTTGTCCAATGGCTTCAGTTCAGCGCAGGGCAGCTTCAAGACATACTGCTGCTTGAGGTAAACGATAAGATAGGCCTCTTTTTCCCAGTATACTTAAAGAAGTGGTGAAGCCGGCAGCTGAGTCAGAACCATGGGAGTCAGAAGCCACTTCAGAGTGTTTGTGGACTTGGTTGCACACCCGAAGCTCCTCGTGTCTTCCAAGAAGAGGGATCACATGAATAGGGCCTCCAGGATATCCATGGTCTTCCAGGTTAGTGGGCCTACAGTATTCACCTAAGACCTAGAAGGCCATGAAACTGACTGGCTGAGATGGGGCTACTTACTAGCCATGTAGGAGAGGGCAGGATAAAAAGACAATTACTAAAAAGAGATAGAACTGGATGGAAACGAGACCTGGTGAATGCAGAGCATGGAGGCTGGAATACATACAGCATTTTATCCCATTTTTAGATGCCCCGATACATGATGGGTAAGGAAGGCTTGGCAGGGAGACCAGTGGCTTGGGCAATAAGGGCAAGAGCTATCTAGTTGTCTCACATGGTTTTAGTGACTGTTCCCATTTTTGGACCTCAGTGGCTTGGGCCATAGAGTGGTATTGTCTGGGAAGGATTTTCATGAAAGCTTTCTGGCAAATCAGAAGGTGAGGTGGGTACAATAAGGGTATGGCTTGATCCAGTATTTTCTGACTTAAGACCCACCCTTGAGTACAAACTCCAGCATGGGACTCACTTTCAGTTGCTTAGCCACGCATGACCTTCCTCTCTTTCTGGGGAGGACCAGGTGCAGGAGGGCAGGCATCCTGTAACTTTAAAACAGGGGTGAGCAGCAGATGGGCTGCATGTGGCCCTCCCCATCTTTGGTTGTGTGGTGGCAGTGGCAGCAAAAGAAAAGCAACAGCTTGCCAGAAAATTTTGGCAACAAACCACTGTTTGCTTAACAGGAGAACTTTAGCTTGGAGACGAGTTAAATGTGTCTTTTTAAAGCTTGCACGGTAAATGGTTGCTGAACTTAGGCAGCAAACTTCTGCAGGTTTTTCGTTCCCAACATGTGGTGGTGTCACAGTGGCTGGTGCATAACCTACAGGAGGAATCTGAAGGGTTCAAAAGGGACTGCTGAACTACCTGAGGTTGCCCTCCCCTGCTTTAAGATTCTGATAGAAGAGCTCAGATGCACCTGAGGAAAAGTGCACCTGCTGAAGTTCCCTTAAATGTTCAAGGGAGGAGCTCTCTTCCTTGTTTTATCTTTTCGAAAATGAATCCCAAAACCCAAACCTGAAAGAGCAACAAGACGAGATGTAGGAGCTGACGTCATGGCCACGTTACGTTGGAGTGTTTGCAGACCAGGAGCCTAGAACATCCTCTGAGACTAGCTTGGTTTCCTAAATGGTGATCCATTGGGGTGCGTGCTTTCAAACCGTAATGTCGGAACTGGCCTCAAGGACTGGCATCGCTGGGTACCTGCCAAGGCCTGCAGCCTTGCACTGCTGTCCCATGGAGATGGAGGCTACGAAACAGCTTGCCCTCTGCTCTCTTTCTGGTAATGGGCAAACAGCTCTATTCAGAAATGGATCACCAGTTGCAAGTATTTTAAGAGAGTGCTGAGTAAAACTTAATGAGCGTAATGCCAATGGGTGGCTTTTATACAGATTTAATAACTAAACTAAAATTCAGCTTATCATCCTTGCATCCTGGACTGGAGAGTGTTCAGGCCTGCAATGCTCACCTTATATTTGAAATGACCATTGGATGTTGCCTGAGTGAGGAATATGACATTTGGTGACATCTCTGTCTGGAACCTGTCTATATTAGCTATTCTTAACTGTGAAGGTTTGGGTAAAAAGATGCTCTTGGAACCTATTTTACCCAGGCCCATATTTTTCAAGTGAGACAATGATTATTCAAGGTGGGATATTGAGAGTTAACAGAGAAATAACTCTATTTCCCACAAAGACTTTGCCTTCTGCTGCTTTTTTCTTCTTCTTCACTCTGACCTCCTACAGAGAGTCAACGTGCTCCAGCTGCAAGCTTTTTGCCCCCCTCTTAGACTATCTCTAATTTCAAACTCACAGAACATTAAAAAGTCAGTTCACATCTCCTCTATAGTCAGTCTGCCCCTGGCTCTGTCATGGCAGTACCAGCTTTATGTTAGCCCTATTCTGAAAGTTCACAGTTTGCAAAAGCTTGGAAGGTAAAATCCTGACCTCATTCAATTCAAGGAACTTCCTTCTCAGGTTTCAAGAAGACTTAGTTTCATCTTTGAGGGGTTCTTTTCTTTTTTTCTTTTTGTTTTGGTAGAGGAAGCTAAAGAAAGTTTGCAATATTGAGATGGGCACTTGTATGTGGAATGTAATGAATATCAGAAGGAAATAGAATTACTCCAAGAGATGAGCATTATTTTTATGTGCCATCAAGCCACAGAATCATAGAATCACAGAATCAAAAAACAGTAGAGTTGGAAGGGACCGAGAAGGCCATCAGGCCCAACCCCCTGCTCAATGCAGGACTGTTAGGTCAACCACCCCCTCAGATGTCGGTCCAGCTGTATATAGAATGCCTCCAGTGTGGGGGAGCCTCCCCACGTCATTGGTTCCATTGCCCTGTCAGGAAATTTTTCCTGATCTCTAGCCAAAATCTGGCTTTCTGTAACATGAGCCCATTATTCCATGTCCTATACTCTTGAATGATGGAGAAGAGACCCTGTCCTTCCTCTTTCTGACAGCTTTCAGGTATTTGTACAGTGCTATCATATCTTTCCTCGGTCTTCTCTTCTTGAGGCTGAACGTGCCCAGACTCATCTCCAACTTGGGGCAACCCTGTGAGTGACTACCCTCCAAAATGTCCTGTCTTGGGCAACCTTGCAGCTCTTGTAAACTAAAGGCTGTGGCAGTCGTTATACAGTCAGTCCAACAAGATTAGCAAAGCCCAAGCAATTAACTAGACGCAATGTTAATTTTGTGAATGCAGCCTCAGGAGCTTCTGTGTAGGATCATGGCCATAACAGTAGGAAAAAGAAATATAATTCCTTTCCTCTATGCATGGCCTGATTTTGTGTGTGTGTGTGTGTGTGTGTGTGTGTGTGTGTGTGTGTGCGCGCGCGCCAATCTATTATTTACATCTAGAGGAAGCTACTGACAGCAGTGATGGAAGCTTCTCTCATGAAAGAATTTGGGATGGGAATAATTTTCCTTTGCATTATATCAGGGAGAAGGGGTTGCTCTCTTCCTTGCACTCAATGGTCCTGATCTTCCTTACTCACCCCCATAACTACCACTATCTGCTTTTTTAAAACCATGCAGAATAATTGCATTTGCACAGCTGACGTCATGTCAAGTCTGGGGGAGAGGGAGTCCACCAGGAACCCAGCCCTGACTCTTAGCTTACTGCAATCCCCCAAGGCACCAGGACATGCAATAGTTTTGTCGGCACTAATTCTGGTTCTGCCTACTTTGGCTTGGTCCCCAGTCACAGATAGAATGCTCCCCCGAGATGGTTCTTGGATTGAAATTTAGGTCATGGGTTGAAAAAGGTTCCCCACTCCTAGAGTAAGGCTGTCTTATTGCTGTCAGGCCCAGCCAATTTCTGCTTTGGAAAATTCCACATTGATTTTTTAATTTATCTAATATTCATCTTTAGCAGTTCAAAAAGGAAAGACAGAATGATTGAGTCTCAATGGACTATAGAAACAGTAATAAAACCATGGCTGATTTCAACTTCCTTATATTTGCTGGGAGATACATTCTGCCAAACATGACCCTTCCAAGAGGTTCCTCACATGTGTAGCCAATAACTTCCTTGAGCAGAAAGCGAAGGATAGGATGACAAGAACAGCTACACTAGACTTAATACTAACCAACAAAGATGATCTGGTAGGTAGGGTAACAACCACGGGGTCCCTGAGGGAGAGCGACCATACCAAGTATGCTTGACTGCAGAAGGGCCAATTTTAAGAAATTCAAGTCAGTGCTAAGTAAAATTCCCTGTCAACTCACCCTAAAGAAGAAAGGAGTCCAGGTTGGATGGGGTAGCTTTAAAAAAGAAAAATCTTAAAGCATAACCAGAACTAATTGCAACAAAGAACAATAATAGAAAACTATACCCCCACCCCAGGGCTCTAGAAAAAGTTAGAAGACAACCTACAAGCTAAGAAGAACATGTACAGGAAGTGGAAAGGAGGCCAAGCCTCAAAAGAAGAGTATAAACAGACAGCAAAGACGTGTAGGAATGGAGTCAGAACGGCTAAAGCAAGTTATGAACTGAGACTAGTGAGGCATGTTAAAAATAATAAAAAAGCCCAGTATAGCTACATTCAAAATAAAAGACAAACAAAGGAAAGGGGCAGCTCATCAAGGATGGCAAAAATATAAGAGCTGACAAAGAAAAGTTAGAAGTGCTCAACTCCTACTTTGGTTCAATCTTCCTCCGCAAAAGAAAATGCGAACCTGACTACAGAGGAGGAAGTACCAAGTGAAAGGGGAGGATGGCAGTCCAAGATCAACAGACAAATGGTCAAGAAGCATCTTGAAGAGGCATTCAAATCTCCAGGACCTGATGGGTCCAATCCTAGAATATTAAAAGAACTTGCACAAAAGCTCTCTGAGCCACTACATAAAATATTGAGAAATCTTGGAGAACAGCGAAAGTGCTGAATGATTGGAGAATGCTGGTGTGGTTCCCGTCTAGAAGGAAGGGAAGAAAGATGAACTGGAGAACTATAGACCAGTTACTCTAACTTCAATCCCTGGGAAATTACTAGAGAAAATCATTAGAAAATCAGTCTGTTTGCACTAAAAATGTAGTGATAAAGAGAAACCAACACGGATTTCTTAAAATTAAGTCATACTGCACCAACCTAATTTCATTCTTTGACTGGGTTACCACCCAAATGGACTGAAGAAATGCAGTGGACACAATTTACTTAGACTGTAGCAGAGCCTTCAACAAAGTGCCCCATCACATCTTGTAAATAAATCAGCAAATGGTGGGCTTGACAGAACTACTATTAGGTGGATATACAACCAGGCTTCAAAATAAGACACAGAGAGTGATAATCAGTGGTAACTTCTCAACTCAAGGGTCAGTCCTGAGACCTGTACTATTCAAAATATGTATTAATGATCTTGATGAGGAAAACTAGGGAATGCTAATGAAATTCGTGGCAGATACTAAATTGGGTGGAATAGCTAACACCCTGGGAGAGAAAAAGAAGATCCAGAGGTACCTACACAAGATTGAACACTGGGTAGGAAACAAC